AAATTGTTAATGCACACAGGTAGTCTTCATATCCCAGCTCTTTTGCTCTTATCCAGTCTTCCCAGCTTGGTGCCTTTCACCTAAAATAAGAATTCAGAAAGATGCAATTGCAGCACATCTGCAAAGCAACAGGCTGGAGAAGGCAGCTATAGTCTCCACATTAGCATCTGAATAGGTGGTAGAAACAGATGAAGCAAATGCAGACAGATAATAAACTGCTTCCCAATCCACAGCTGCCTGTCTGGATGTCCAGATGTTTCTATAACTGTTTAAGTTAAACTGTTCTGTGATAAACAGAACTAATTCAGTGTGACATGTCCCGTTAGCTACTGTGTTTTAAGTATTTGATTAAATGAATCACATTCTGATTTGGAAATAGACTGGTGCAGGACAAATGAAAAAAGGTCACAAAATTGGAGAAGAGCCTTGTGTAATGGGAGGTAATGAAGAGTATCTGTCCTCAGGCAGTGGTCCGTAGTGTGAACACAGGTTTATTACAAGGACAAAAACGTTACTCCATCTTTACATGGGAAGTGTAGGAGATTCAGAAGGTGGTTGTTAGTAGAGAGAGTATATTATCAGTGCAAACAGCTTGAATCAAAAGCTGACACATTGACTTATTTGTACTGGCAGCCACAGGCTCTTTTGTATTTGTTGTGTGAAAGGAGAAAATCCAGATTGAGCTAGGCAATCAGAGTGCTAACATGAGAACATGGGCAAAGATATGTTTGAAGGCACTTAGGCAAGGTGGGCTGAAGCAGGCCTGTAGAACATGATCAGACAGAAGCTCAGCTGATGTCTCTTTTTCATTCTTGCCACAAAATCCATCTTCGTCCTCAGGGCCATCCAAGAAAGCATGTTCCTTCAGTCAGGGCCAGGCCTGGGCCCTACGGAGTCTGGAGGTGGCAATGGTGTGCCTCCTCCCGAGGGCAGCCCAGCTCTCAGCACCAACGGAAGCAGTTCCTCAGCTTTGCCTCCACCTTACCCCAGCTTTGATGAGCAGCTGCGTTTGGCCATGGAGCTGTCATCGAGGGAGCAGGAGGAACGGGAGCGCCAACGCCGTGAAGAAGACGAGGAGCTGCAGCGCATCCTCCAGCTCTCTCTGACAGAGAAGTAGCATCCCAGCCTGCTAGCAAGGGGCCCCTAAGCCTTGCTCAAGCCTCACACCACCCAGCCTAATTCTCCTTGCTGCCACTGTATTTTTAACCTTGGGTTGGGCTCCATGCTTTGCCCCCTTTCCTGTTGGGGTCAGGCTGGATGTGAGAAGACAGCACCTTCTGCATTTCCTGGGGTTCACTTGGTTCCGTCCTCTAATATTATTTCTTGTAAGTTTTTTTTAAACTGCTTTATCCTTCACGGAGGAAATGTTTTCTACAGCACAGAGAAGGGGAGTGGGAGAAAAGGAGCAGCAACAGATAGCGAAGAATGGAAAAATGATCAAAGGAGGAATTTCTCTTTTTCAGATGAGCTTGCAGCTTTTTGGAAGTGCTAGAAGTGTGCTGTTGCAGCTCCTGTCCTTGCATGGGTTTTGGCCTCTTAGGGATGGGGCAATAGAGAGGGTGGGATCCAGGTGCTCAATGCATTAATATTTGCAGTAAGACTGAAGTCAGGCTGCGGCGTGATGAATAATATTCCTGCTTTTTTTTTTTCCCCTTCCTCATCATGAGCTGCTGTTCTCCCCTCCTTCCCTGTGTTTAATTTATTTTATTTATATCTTTGAAGATATATACTAGAAAGGGAGTGGGAGTTGTGTACTTTTTTAAAAACTGAACCCAGTGGGTCTAAAGGGAAGAGCTGGGTCCACTCTTGAGCAGTTTTCTCCTGCTGTCTGGGGACCAGGCACAGGGAGCTCTGGGCAGCAGGAATACTAAATAAAAACATGAAATCAGCATCTGTTTTTGGTAGCATTCTTCAGTTTCATCTATCTTGGTCACATTCATGGTATTTCTGTGGCTCTTGTGATCATATTTCAAGTAAATTACTGAACAAGCTGATTTGTTTACTCAAAAGGAACCTGTGGTTTGAATGATCATGCCATGGTAGCATGTCTTAAGAAGGAACTAGTTCACAAAGAAGAGGTACTTAACCAATCAGGTTTGTGCAACATTTCCAGCAAGCCAAATGCATGGAATTCCATATGTTTGATAATCCCCCATTTTTATGAACTCAGTCAAACAACAGGAAATGATCCTATTTCCTATAGACTCAAAACTTGCAGTCAAGAATATATCCTATTACTTTAAATAATTATATGAAATTCTTAGCATGCATGCCTTCTTAGTCCCCCATCTTCCCTTTACTTACAGGGCTTTGGTGACAGTAGAAGCAATAAATGGCAGAATTTCCAGGTCAAAGACTAGCGGCACACCACTGAGATTGCTTGGAGTTTTACCAGACTCCTCCCCCAGCTGCATTTTCTTCAATTTTAGCAGTCACTTCTATCTCAGGTCTTTGCTTTTCAGGACACAACTTAGCTTACTCCATTTACTTTTGCCACTCTGTTTCTTGAGCAGCTCCCTTGCAATTTTCTCTCCCTGTCCCTTTAGCTCAGTCTGCCACAATTTATGTTCTCCCTTCATTGGAGGGCAGCAGGCACATCTAGAGGGCAGTAGGTTGGTGAAGGCTGACCAAGAATATAGTTCCTGTTTGGGTTAAATGTTTCTTCAGATCCTTGCCTTAATTCTCTGTCTTTTTCCCCCTCAAACCTTCATTCCCCAGTAATTCTTTTGTCAGGTTCCTCTTTCTCTGGCTATTTGCCCACTCTGCATTTTTCTTTTTGCCTCCTTGCTCTTGTTTCTGTCTGCTTATGTGTTTCCTGAGCCCTTCCCCCTGTCTTCTTCTTGAGAAGTTATATGGCATATTGACCACTTTCTCTTGACTCACAGAATTTGGAGTACAAATGACTATGTTCTGTGAACAGTTGGAATTCTGAACTCTCATATCTGACCAGTGGCCATCTCTCAGCATCTTTACTACTGCAGTAATGCAGAACAAGATAAATTTTGTTACCCTAATTTCCTACCTTACATGTCCCCATCTAGCGGCCATTCACAGAAATGTAATTTGTTTGACAAACCTTGGTGGATTTATGAGGCCACGTAAAGCCTGTCAAATAGGTTTTTAAATACTTTAAATTACTAAATTGCAATAACCATTAATTAATTGTGTTCATTTTGCACAGCCTTTCTCTCTATATTCCTTCACCCAGGAAGGTATGGAAGGAGTTCCAGGGCATCTAATTTTGTTTAGATGCCCTGGAGTGCCTATTTTGAAAGGTCTCAGGTGCCATCCCTGGGCAATCCAAGTTCTTCTCTGAAACATTAGAGCACTAATGCCAGTCATAATACAGATTTAATGGAAGGCAGCTTTTCTGTTGGCCTCAATAAGTTTAAGATAGATGTTAGTACTGTGTTGTGGGGTATGTTGTCACTCCACATTTAAGACTGACTGGCTTGGAGGACCAAGGAATGGATCTGAGGGGAGTTCAAATATTAAGAATTATCTGAATCTGGAGATCCTGTCTGTTCCCACTGAAAGCCGTGAGCAGATGCAGCTAGTATGCCGTGCACTGTATGAAGCCATCTGCTCTCATCCCCCACCTGTTCAAGCAAGCTATATCCAGAGAAATAGAGGAAATGCAGTATTTGTTAAAGTCTCCTTCAAGTCAAGCTCAATTCCCAGTAATTCCATGGACTATTCTATGTAGGTTTTTTGGCCACAATATAAAAGTGATTTCCTACTGCTGTTTTCAATTTCCCAATTTATCCTACAGCCTTAGCATGTTTGCTAGGTTTCTGCCCAAGAAATAGTAACTTAAGTTCAACTGCTTAGTTTTTGAGATCAGCCAAGGTTGGCTAGGCATTTACCACCAGTACAGTATTTGCTCTGAACACCCAAATCAAGTCAGAATGCAAGCCAAGTTATTTCAAGATGTGCAAGAATCCAATGAGTTGTACTGTACAAAAAAACAATACTGTACTCCTAATAATTAGCTGTGATTGTCAGCTCGTGGTATGCTTATCACAATAAACTAACTCTTGGAGCCTTAAAATTATTTATTGTGGAAACTGTTGCAGACCAAAATATGGGGCTGTTATAAAGGGACAGACAAGATGTCTTGCTTGACTAGCAAAGACCTGAGAATTCCAGCATTTGACTTTTCCTTTGATCCCAGCATATTATATCAGCTGATAGTATTTGCTGGTGTCTCACTGGTGTTTGTCGTCAATGGTGCAGTTAGGTGATTTTCGAACTCTGACCATATCATAGAGGAATAGTTTCTTGATGATGATGTATACTCTTTTATATAAATTTGGTAAGCCAGCCCTACTGCCTTTGAGGATCTTTTTGCTTAATTTTCCCCAATGAAGCTCTGGGTTCTGCCCAGATGGCACCACTGCTTACAGCTCACTAGGATCTTGTGAGAAAGTCTGAGCCTTCCTGCTGAATTTCAGGAGGATCCTAGTTGGCAACAGCAGCTGAGTCCAGTGGTCTTACTGGCTGAAAAAAGAGACGATGCTCTGCTTTCCCAAATTACCCCTCAGACTTTTTTTTTTTTAAATCACCTGCTGAGTCATTGTAATAGTAACATGAACACTGCAGCAAAGCATAGATGGCTGTAGTTCATAACAGGCCACATTCCAGAGGCTTCCCTATTTTAAGCCTGGGATAAGTGCCAGTAATAAAATGTCAAAATCCAGGGGCAGGATAAATGCCCACCCCCGAATATGCCACATCAAGTTTAGATAGGGAGCCTTTTCCTCTTCCCATGTTAAGGGAACAGTGTAGCAGCTTCCCCACGTGTCCTTCAGATATTGGAACCACGCAGGCCCAGAGCAATCCTACGCGAAGGGAGAAACCCCCGTGAAAGATAGACAAGTAACAGCTAGAGCTGAGTTGCAAGATTGCTCTTTCTTTTCAGCTGTAAATTCTGTCCGGTACAGTGGTTCTGATGGACTTCTAAGAAAAAAGGGCCCGTGGAGGTAGCTTAAAGTCAGCCGGGTGGCTATGGCCAGCTATGTGGGGGAAAGGTAAGCTTTAGGTATTCCAGGCACAGGGCAGCTTGAGAGACCCTCCCTTCGCAGTTACAATTCTTCCACGGTATGAAGGGTCCGGCTATCTGTGCAAGTGGCGGGGCTGAGTCCTGGCACAAGAGAAGAAGGAGAACGAGACGGCGGGGAGAGGACTGCCTCGGGAAGCGAGTCCCCGTAGTTGCAGAGGATTGGCACCTCCTCCTCCCCCGCCTGGTCTCTCGCGACTCGGGCCTGTTCCTTTAAGAACCACCCCCGAAAGGACGCACTCGGTATTGCTTTGCGGGCAATATCCGTGCGCTCGTTCGTCGGGGTGGCTGGATGAAGGAGCAGAAAGTTTACGGCTGGCAGGCTCCCACCCCGGGATGAGTGAATGAGTGGCCCGCTACTCCCGCCCCCTGCAGACGGTTTGCGGCGGCGTTGCGCTGGCTCCGAGTGGCACCGTCTCAGTCTCCCCCGGAGCGGAGGAAAGGCGCAGGAGTTCGTCCGCGCATGGCGCTGGTTACCGTCTGTCGTTCCCCATCGGGGAGTGGCCACTCGACCCCCACCGGCTGCAAGGTGAGCCCCCCAAACGCCCCGCTCCCTTTTACGCTGGACAGGACTCTTGAGGGTGATATCCCGCTCTGACCCCGCGGCCGACCCTGCCTTCAGCCGCGCTTTCCTCTGGGGACGTTCACGGTCCTGTCTCCGTCCCTCCTTTCTGAGGTCGGCGACCAAGGATGCTTTGGCGCCTGTTCTACCTGGGCCCCTTCTCCAAATGTATTTGCCTTCCGTCTGTCTTATCGCTCACTGCAAACTGTGAGCAGGGTTATGCAGAGAGTGGCCTCAGAGTTCACCATCTTGTTCCTGAAAAAACGTGTCCTCGCAGTTCCCTGAGGGGCAACTCTCTGAAGAAGGGCAGGGGAGAAAAAAAACTGAACGGGCGAGATTATCCAATTTCTGCAGGCCTCTTTTTTTCCCCGGTACTGTGTATGGAGAGAAGCAGCCGTACTGCCGGATCCGGGGAGTGGGTGAGAGCTTTGCCACACTCTAGGTGAAGTCGTTCCCCCTGGCTCCCGGTGGGTCACCGCTTTCCCACTTACAGTATGGAAGGTGGATGCAATCATCCCATCAAAACCATTGCCCTTCAAGCATCCATTTTGCTTTAGAATAGCCGATGAGTGGCAAAAGGGTGTTTTTTTTGTTAAAAAAACTTGGCTACAGTTTCTATTTTTAAAAAAATTAAAATGCAGTCTTAGTATGTTGAAAATAACATTGGAAAAGATTTCTGCCATCCATGTTAAGAATACAGAATAGGGGGCTAGAAATTATTCTGGGTGATCAGATGTACAGGGGCAGGGTCTGGACATGTGCTGGAGGAATTGCTTTGCCTTCTGCCTTGCGCTGGGTATTCAGAAGGGGAGAGGTGAAGCAATCCAGCTGCTGGAAGCCAGTTGGTTTGAGCTCCAGTTCTTTTAACTGTAAGGGTCACAACGAAATCAAGGAAGTCATTTAGCTGCAAAAATACCATTCAGAACTTGTCCACAGATCTCTTTTCCCACAGATTATAGTGGTTTGTTGAAAGGTTCTCCCCTTCTTTTCCTGGACTGCTCCATTTCTGTCCTCTCCTTGTATGGAAGCAGTTTAGGAAACTTGTCAAAATGTGGCCACTCTTTCTTTGTATTCCCATTAATATACTATTTTCTCTAATCAGTTTTCAACAGCCCAAGTTTCTGTGGGGAGAAGTAGGCACTAAGAGTTGCTTGTCAGTAAGTTTCACAACTGCTACTTCCTGCCAACTCCTTGCAGATTGCAACGTCAGAGACCAAATGTCCCTTGCATAATGGCCTTAGAAGAGGAAGACTTTCCAGGCCATGACACCAGTGCTGGGATAGAGCCCTTGCTGCTTGCACCAGAGCACCTGTGCCTGAGTTCACATCCCAAGCTTGGCAGTCCGTGGGACGATCTTGAGTTTCAAGTGTAATTAGACGTTGTGCAAAGAACTGGCAATTAGGAAGTGGCACAAATGCTGTTTGTTTGCTTTTTTCCCCTGTGCTCAGAAATGTCACAGGAAATTGCTAACAAAATGGGAAACACATAGATAAGATTATACAAGAGCTGGAATTCAAGGCCAGTCTAGGAATCCTGAAAAGTAGATGGGAGACAAGCAGGGGAACGGTGCCCTGCTGGCCTCTACATATGTTTCCAAATCTTTGGAGGAATCCCTGTTACTGTGGAGCTGTGGCACAGAAAGGAGGAGTACAGATAGTCCCTGGGTTACAGACAATCCATAGTTAAGAACGGAGCCTACTGTAGCAAAATTCAAGTTAAATACACAATGGTTCCAGTTAAATACACAATGGTTCCAGTTCATTACACAATACTACTTATACAGTATTATACAATAATGCTGTTCTGGCTTACGTACAAATTCGACTTAAGGACAGACCTTGGGAACAGAACTCCTTCTTAAACTAGGGACTACCTATATACAACCTGGGGCTTGCCAGGGCAGTTATAGACCACCAGCCAGATACTGGGGCATACCTGGTGCTTGATTTGCTTTTGCTACTTACAAAACCAGGAAGGTTGTTAAATGCTAGTCTGATAATGTCTAATTAGAAGCATTTGACTTCACAGGAGCAACCTCTTTGGCTGGTACAGAATAATGAGATGTAGTATAACAGGAGCATGAGCCAGAAAGTTATTTGTACCAGTAATGTCATAGCTGGAATCTTATTGCCTGGCCTTGGGCAAGCTGCTCAGCCTCAGCCCCACCATCTACAATGGTCACATATAGGGTTGTTGTAGATGTTGCAACAATAACGTATGTGCAATGCTTTCAATTTGCAGAAAGTGTTACTGGAGTTCTAAGGGGTAATCTCTGCCATGTTATATCATGCAACTTAACAGCTAGGTCTCATTACTGTAATGGGGGCACCTTGGCCTGCAACTTCTTGAACGAGTACGTTCCAACCATTGATACAGATCAAGAATTAGCAAAGCCATGAAAGCCACAATTATAAGGCAGTATCTTTTCCTCTGTAAAAGAAAGCCCTTGTTTGAACCCAAAGCACAAATTAATACAGCAGTTTTGTGCTCTGAGCTGAAATGTAACCATCCTTCTTCCTTTTAATGATGAAGGCAGAGTTTCAAGGTAGGAGAACAACCCTCCTTTGAAATGTCTTATTATATTTATTTTTAAAATGTGTGTGCTACTCTCCAAAGAAATGGTTTCTTAGGGTGGTTTCCAATGAATAGTAGTTTTTTTCATATTGGTTTATCATAAAATGAGCCTGGATTTGAAGCAGCTCATATACAACTAGCTACTTCAAATGCTCAATATTTCTTTAATTAAGGAAGCCTGTAAATACTCCATGTATCTGTACCTGTATCATGAAAGCATAGAACTGATTGCAAAGTGAGACATTTGGGTTTAAGGTTCTTTGTTTTAAAGTAAGTTTCAAAGCTCTTTTAGTGTTGGCATAAATTGGGAACCTACTAGTGTTGCCTGTGAAATAGCAGAGAGAGGAACTTAGCAGGATTTCCCAGGGGGTGGTGTTTGTTGCTGTTGTGACCAACATGTCTCGCTCCCTCCCCCATGTCTGACTGATCAAGCAGAGCAAATGATCCAAAATAGGCTGGGGGCCCAGAGTTCTGTAATGGAAGTCCTGCAAATGTTCAGGACTGTAGCTGGACAAAGCAATCCCCAAAAGGATTTGCTTCTGCCACGGAGGTGTTAGGAATAGGAACATTATGTCATGCCGAGTTTTCCCATGCCAAGACCAATAGCAGAAATAGTTACTCGATGACTCCACATGTCTGGATTGGACATTGTTCTCTTGGTACAAAGGAGTCACTCTCAGACTACTACTAGGGATGGGTCCTGCCAGTCATGTGCTGTTTAGTATTGACCCTTGATTTAAGCACTCAACAACACGGTTGAATATCCTTTGTTGGTGGCAAGTGGGAGCTACCATTCTAATTATGTACGAGGAATGGCTTGTTGAAGTTATGTGATTGCACAGTTAATAGTTTAATAGGCCATGTTTATATGTTGTGTGCTACTTTATGTTGTGGTTTATGTCATGTCCTGTAAGTCAAGAGGCTTACTAATGTCTTAAGTAAAAGGCAACCTCTTGTGGTTCTCCTGGTTGTAGAATTAGAACTCAGAGCTTCTGTTTAATTGGGAGGATCTGTCATACCCTCTGAAAGGTCTTGGGAGAAGGAACCAAGCAAAGGATATTGATGTAAGATGTGAAAAGTCAGCACTTCTTTTAAACGCAAGCAGCAGCTTCTTTTTCTGTAATCTGGAGAGAAGTGCTAATCAACATGGAAATCCTTTGCAGGATGAAGATGTTCCCAGGAGGAGACAGTTGCAGCGACGGTAAGGAGTCACCCTTCCTAATATTCTTTATATAACCAGTTTTTTAAAAAAGCTACCATCAAGTTGCAGGTTCTCCGGGCCCCACCCCTGAAAGTTTTCACACTTTTTTTTTAATCATAAAGATTTAAGTATGATGCCTCCACGAGCAGCAATTGAACGTACTAGCAAAACAAAACATCCCCCCCCCCGAAAGGATGGAAGCAGACGGGTGCTGTTTGAAACTTTAAAGAAATGGTTTCAGTTCTTGATCTGCACAGTGAAGAAATATGCATATACTGTATAAGCATTCCTGAAATGCTAGTTTAGGAGCTGAGTAATTTTGCTATTCTTTGTCAGGAATATGTCAG